GTTTTTGTTTTTGTTGTTTTTTGGTCTCCCCCCCCCCCCCCAGGTACTATTTTTTCCTGAAGGCACCTGTTCTAACAAGAAGGCTTTGCTGAAGTTCAAAGCAGGTGAGTAAAATGATAGTGGGCGACAAGGTGGTGAAGGAGAAGGAGCTCCAGCTCTGGGGGGGGAGGAGTAACTGAGGAGTAGCGGAGAGGGGAAGGGGTGGTGGCGACGGGAAGCCTCTTACCTAACGCCGGCAAGGTGAGACACAGAGAAAAGTATCAGTAAAGCAAAGCCACGTGTCGTTTGTCCCAGACTCTCATGCCGTGTAGCTACATCCGTGTACTAACTTCTGCCTTGGGGGGGTGGGGTGGAAATGGGATTCAGGAGCCTTCATCGCGGGGGTGCCGGTGCAGCCTGTCCTCATCCGGTACCCCAACAGTCTGGTGAGTCTCAGTGGAAGAAGGGTGGGAGCATGAGTCCTTCCTAAAGGGAACCCAGTGAAAACTGTTGGTGGCGTGTTACAGTATGCACCTGGGGGCAAAGCGTGCGGTCAGAAAGAAAAGTAACCTGCCCCTCCCTCTGCTTTCCCACAGGACACCACCAGCTGGGCATGGAGGGGCCCTGGCGTGTGAGTTCTAGTGTTGTGGGGGTAAGGGTGTGGGGTCCGGTCCATCAGAGCATCCCTGGTCCAATCTCTAGAAGAGATGAATGGCCCGACCTTGTAGGACTGAGAGAACTCTAGAGGAGATTGCCGTCCGACCTCCCTTTATAACTAGGCAGTACTTCTAGCCCACCCCCACCCCAACCCCCGACTCACTCCCGCTGTGATACAGTTCCTTCTTATTTACTGTCCTGAGTTTGTTTCTTGTTTGTGGGGTTCTTGGGGGCGGGGAGGGGGGTCTTTACTCAGTGGTCTTTTCTGGAGAACCCACATCACTAGACATGCCTCTTCCCTTCTCCTTGGTACCCAGCCTCCCCCTTGCCTGCAGCTTTCCCCCTGGTGTGTTCCTGCAGATTTTCTCTCTCTCTCCCCATCACCCTTCTGGCCCTTCTCACGGTCTCCCAATTAACCGGAGCTAGGGAGGGGTCCCACTTTTCATATCACTGAGAGAATATCCCACTGCCTTGCTCATCACAGTTAAAGAGTTAAAGTGGTAAACACCCATCTCTCTTCCCTTAGACTCAAAGTTCTCTGGCTCACAGCCTCTCAGCCCTGCAGCATCGTGGACGTAGAGGTATGACCGTGTGTCGTCCCCCGCCCCCTTAGTGGGGAGCAGGGAATGGAGCAGTAGTGCCCGTGCCTTGTTTCCAGGTCCTGATGAGAGCTGTGTCTGTGTTTCAGTTCCTGCCAGTCTATCAGCCCAGCCCTGCGGAGAGTAAGGACCCCACCCTTTATGCCAACAATGTGCAGAGAGTCATGGCACAGTGAGTATTACACGTATTTCCTGGTATTCCACAAAGTATTTCCTGGAGCAGTTATGCAGAGCAGAGGAACCACAGAAGGGGCAGGAGGTTTTGAGGCCAAGATAAGGGATAGTGGGCAAGGTCCATGCGACAGACAGCTGAGGTGAAGGGGAGAAAAGATGGAGACTGACCATTTCCATCAGACAGGGTGTACTGAAACCTCAGCAGTTTCTTGCACTGCCCTTCCCCCTTGATCTCCATCCCTCTTTGTCCTGCAGGGCCCTGGGCATTCCAGCCACCGAATGTGAGTTTGTAGGGAGCTTACCTGTGATTGTGGTGGGCCAGCTGAAGGTAGCATTGGAGCCACGGCTCTGGGAACTGGGAAAGGTGCTACAGAAGGCTGGGTAAGTTCCCTTGAAGATGAGGGTATGAGCACTGTGCCCCAGATAGAGAAAGTTCCAAAGGGAAAATGAAGGAGGAAGTGCCGTGCTGGATTTGATCCTCAGTACAGAGGGTGTGGGAGGACAGCCGCTGAACCCACGCTGGGAGCCTAGTGCTGGGGGCAAGGTTGTGCATGGTGGATCCAAAAAGAAACCGAGTCAGCTCACTGCTGTCACTTCCATCGTAGGCTGTCCCCTGGCTGCGTGGACACAGGGGCAGAGCCAGGCCGTAGTCGAATGATCAGCCAAGAGGCATTTGCCCAGCAGCTACAGCTCTCAGATCCTCAGACAGTGGCTGGTGCCTTCAGCTACTTCCAGGAGGTAATGGATGACTTGCCCTCCAAGCCAACAAGCTCAGGATTTAGAGATGAAGTTCTAGTGAACATGTCGGTTTTGGCAAACTGTGTTTCTAGAAATATAACCAAGTATCCTGTCAAATTGTAATTCTAGTTTGCTGGCTCGATTGCAAGTCTGTTCTGCATAGTCTAATAACCCTTGTAAATGGCTGGCTACAAGATGTACTGGGACATCCCCCCCCCCCCCCCCAAGTATCCAGTACATAGAGGGAACAGTGTTGTAGTCATAGAAGGAAGAACAAATGACAGACTCCATCGGGGAAGTCTAGAACCTGGAGCCACTTTCGAGATTGGCAGAGATGGGGAATCATGACCATGTAGGACACTGGGTGAAGGCCTTCACAGAAGGGCCATGAAGAGTTAGGTGGCCAGGTAGCAGTGGCGCACGCCTTTAATCCCAGCGCTCGGGAGGCAGAGCCAGGCAGATCTCTGTGAGTTCGAGGCCAACCTGGTCTACAGAGCAAGCTCTAGGATAGGCACCAAAACTACACAAGAGAATCTTGGGAAAAAAAAAAAAAAAGTTAGGTGGCAGGAGAAGGTGGAGAAGAAACTAATTAGGTTAGACAGCTGAGCATTTGAGACCTACAATTGCTGCAGCACAGAAGCAGGTTCTTTTCCAATATCCCGTAGCCTTCCTAGAGGACTCCTGAACTAACTCAAGAATGTTGGCAAACTGTTATTTCCAGAAACATAATCAAGTATCCTTTCAAATTACAATTCTAATTTGTGTTTTCTTTTTAAGTGCTAAGAATAGACTCAGGTTTTTCTGCTAGGCAGGTGGCCTTATACTTTAGCTATACCCCCAAGCCTCTGAAAGGGCATAGACACAGACTATGAGTCTCAACATCCTCAACCCTCAGAAGACAGAGGCAAAAGGATCATACGGAAGGCCAGTCTAGGTCCTATAGTTAGACATTGTCAGACGTTGTCTCGATTATAAAAATAAAAATACTAAAAATTTTAAGTATGAGCATGTGTAGATTGCTTAGATTGGAGAAGACTGTCCCCATCTCAGCCAACATGTCCCCCATAGACCTGGCATAGCATCTATTCTGTTTGAATTTTTGGTTTAAAAAAATTAGGCCAGGGGCCCCCTTTTAATTTGTTGGACCAGTTCTCCCACATAGACTGAGTCAGAGGAAAACCAGTTTGTCTGGCTTGGAAACCAGGATTGCTCTCCTGTGGTCTATCAGAATGGGTGGTAACTTTAGAATTCCTGGGGGATTCCCTGCCATTCCTAGATGTCTGTTGGAGGGCTTTGTTACTAGATGACTTTGTGTGTTAAGGGATCCCTAAGGAAGCTTACAGCCTGAGAACTTCAGGAGTCCTGAGGAGTATGGTGCTCAATTCTGAGCAGAGTGGCCACAACCCTCATTTCTAAGCCTGGTGAAGAGAAACCAAAGTCCAGAGGGCAGGAGGAAGATGTGTGGTCCCCACGTTGCTCTGCTTTTTCACCCTCCAGGATGCCAAGGGTTTGGTGGACTTCCGAAATGTGGCCCTTGCACTAGCAGCCCTGGATGGGGGCAGGAGCTTGGAGGAGCTGATTCGCCTGGCCTTTGAGGTATCTTTGAGGGACTGTGGGACAACTGCTGATACCATTTACCCCACAGTTCCATCCCAGGAGGGTGGTATATTACGCTGTTCTCAGCTCTTAGATAATGCATGGTCAGTGCCCGGGAGTGCCACACTACCTAAAACTGCCTATCTGCAGTATCTCCTACTGAGGCCTAGCCGGGCAGAAGGCAGAAGGTAGACATTTTACAGTTACCCTGAAAGAAAGGGCACTAGAGGGCCACAAGGGCTTATATGCAGAACTCTTGGAAGAAGAGGAGCCCATCAGGCAGGCTTTCTGGGCAGCATGAGGCAATGTCTGGAGGAGAGAACTTGACAAGCATCTCTTTCTGCCCCAAGCTCTTTGCTGAAGAGCAGGCGGAAGGACCTGGCCGCCTGCTGTACAAAGATGGCTTCAGCACCATCCTGCACCTGCTGCTGGGTTCACCCCGCCCTGCTGCCACGACTTTGCATGCCGAGCTGTGCCAGCCTGGATGCAGCCAAGGCCTCTCCCTCCGTAAGTCACTTCCTTCTCTACCCTGCACAGGCACTGGGGTCCCATCAGAACCTCTGAGAGGCAAGGCGGGCAGGAAATAGGCAAGTGAGGAAAAGGGATGTAAAGCAATATGTGAGAAGGCCAACAGATTAGAAGGACTGGGGGTACCCAGTTCTAAGCAAAAAGGAAGAGGTGTGTCCCCTTCACACGCTTAGGTGATTTTACTTTTCTGTTTCCCATTCTCCCTGTTCAGATCAGTTCCAGAACTTCTCCCTCCACGACCCTCTGTATGGAAAGCTTTTCAGTACCTACCTTCGCCCCCCACACAAGCCTCGAAGCACCTCCCAGATACCAAATGCCTCATCCCCAAGCAGCCCCACTGCCCTGGCCAACGGGACTGTGCAAGCCCCCAAGCAGAAGGATGACTGAGCACCTCAGCCTCCCACTCCTTCCTCAGCTCGAATCCAGCCCTGCTCTCAGGACAGCGCCAGAGGCCTACCCTATGCCTCAACCCTATCTCTGCTCCTGTTTGATTTTTTTTGGTTATCATTGTTTGTTTTTTAAGTTTATTTTAATTTTTTGTTTGGTGGGGTTTTTTTGTAAAAGACTATTTTATATATAAATATAAATATATATCTATTAAAAAAAATGAAGCTCGGTCCCATGGGTGGAATCATTAGTTGTGAAGGAAAGAGATGAATGGTTGGTTGCCAGATTTCCATTGGGATTTCTAAACTCTAAACGTTGATCTTGGCCGTACCCGAATTCTCACTCACAAATGGACTGGAGTATTTCCTTCATGGAAATCTTACATTAAGTTTGTGTCTTCCCCTTCCTGTTCCCACCTACTAAATGTGCACATTTTTTTTTTTTTTTTTTGGTTTTTCGAGACAGGGTTTCTCTGTGTAGCTTTGCGCCTTTCCTGGGACTCACTTGGTAGTCCAGGCTGGCCTCGAACTCACAGAGATCCACCTGGCTCTGCCTCCCAAGTGCTGGGATTAAAGGCGTGCGCCACCACCGCCCGGCTTAAATGTGCACATTTTAATAGACTTCTTCATGAACGTCTTTTTCATCCCATTCCCTCATGCTCTGTCCTCATTAATGAGATGAAAATATAGCTTACTGCCATTCCGTATTTAACAGTCCCACTGAGAGTTTATTCCATCGCCCATACTTGGGGACCTGTGTCAGTAAAGTAGTCTTCTCCAGGTCACACCAACCCCATGGTGCTTCTGCAGCAGCATGAGCTGAGGATGTATAAATCCTTCATGTCTGGCCCCTTAAAGGGAAAAGGGGTCTCCACACCCCACACCCAAGGTGCTGTATCTTGACACAAATATGTAAAATTAGTTACATTTAGGAAATCAGATCGGAGATCTGACACATACAAAAAAGCATCTTTCCCCACCTATATATTAAAAGGAAGCCAACAATAACAGGTTATCCAGACAAGACCTGCCGATGCCAGGTTCTGGCTTGGGAAGATACCTAGTCAAGAAGGTGATTAATCTAAGAGACACTGCAGGGCATCCGCACACTCTACCTTTAGTGTTAAGACTGTGTTCTACGTAGCAGCCAAGATGTTCACACAGAAGAGCACATAGAGAGCAATTTCCAACCAAAAACAAATCTTTATTTTTTCCATATAACTTCCCGAAGTTGGTTCCCTTTCCCTTTACTTTCCACTGAAGGGGGCCCCTGCAACCTAGCCAGACTGGTCTTCTCCCCCAGGCTCTCCAGCTTCTTGCACACGAACAAAAACAACATTGGACTGGGGCTGCTTCTCTTGGGAGCAGCAGCAGTAAAATATACTCTGGGGCCCCACCTTTGGGTGCCGCTAGGTGGAACAGGATGGCCCTTCACTTCCTACTGGCTACGACGTCGTTTCTTCCTTTTGCTCGTGACTAAAGTGTCACGCCGCCTTTTACGAGGCTGTGGGAGCTGCACTATTCCCAGAGCAAGGGGTTTCTGCCCAGAACTGCCAGGCTGAGTTCCTGGCTGGGGTCTCTCCACAGCAGTAGCTGGAATCCCAACTAGGGCTTGCTTCCCAGATGTATGGGGAGAGGGTGAAGGTTGGCCAAGGTCATCTACTTCAGCAGAGGGGTGGGATGTTTTCTGGATTCCCTGACCTCCAGAGGCATGACAAGTACTAAGGGAAACCCCTCCTGAAGAAAGGCTAAGTTTTGAAGCCAAAAGGTAGGCAAAGTTAGAGAGTTCTTCATCTTCTTCCTCCTCTTTCTCACTCCCTTTGGCCCTATCTGCTGAGTTGTGTGTTTCTCTAATAGATACTTCTCTCAAAACTAAAGCATCCCTAGTTCCCCGTCTAGGGGAAGTACTTCCCAGACCCTGGGAAGATGCTGATTTGGTGGTCTCGAGTGTATAAGATTCTTGATTGCCTTGTAAAGGAACAGGGTCAGTAGGTTTGGAGATAACAGTATCTTCCCTGCCCTCTCCTTGAAGGTTACAAGAATTAAAATTTGATGAGCAGGAATCCTTGCTGACCCCTGGTTGGGGGGCACTGTCATTTCTAACATCTAGTATGTCAACATGTTCTATGTTTTCCAACAGAGGAAAAAGTAGATTACCTCTGCTCTCTGCCTCGCAGCTAGCCTGGGGGAAAGAGGAGGTATCCTGGGTCCCAAGAATAAGGAGATTGCCTTGGCATGTGGAAGACCCCAGTGTGGAGGTGTCAAGTGTTTCCAACAGAGGGGAGTGACCTTTATCCCACAGGTCACTGGGATCCTGTACTGTCTCAGGGTTCAGCTCTTGATTTTCTTTGGACCTCAAAGCTGGGCCACTGGCCATCAGAGATCCTGGCAAGCTACAGGAGTTTCTCTTTTCTAGGACAGCTGTTGAACCTGTGCCTCCACAGGGAACCACAATGTTCCCTACATCCTCCAGCACTGTGGCTTTCCTAGGGCTTGGAGAAACACTGTTTCTGGAATTCAGTGCCTGGTCCTCTCTTATACATGCCTCATCTTGGGTGCTGTCTATGACCCTCTCGATTTGTAAGGGTAACTCTAAGCGTACAGCGTCCATGTCACCACTCAGCCACAATCCAGGGCTGAGAGAAACCCTGTCCAGGTTGCCAGGGGCTCCAGGGGAATGGTTCTGATCATAACTCTGAACCATGGCAGGACCTCTGTCATCTCCCCACATGGCTCTTGAAGAGCCTTCCTGAGATACTGCTGAAGGGTCTCTCCCTTGAGTGAGCACCCCGACTCCCTGAATCTGTTGTCCTATCTGCAGCCCCAAGGCCTGCTTTTCTAGCCCAAGTCCTTGCAGAGAAACTGGCTCTGTAAGTCCAATATCCAAATTGGAGGCTCCCATGGGCTGGGGGCCTTCATGCCAGCAAAAAGGTAAAGATTCCAAATTCCTATCTGCCACTGGGTAGTGCCCAAAGGGCCCAGTACCTCCCAGGTGGCCATCATGATGGGCAGATAGCTGTTTGATAACCTTCCCAGACCCTTTTCTCTCCATGCCCAAGGGTACTTGCATGCCCTGTGAAGCTGTGAGTTCCAGCTGCAGGTCCCAGCTGCTAGAGGATGGCAGAGTGTTTCCATCCTTGTGAATCCCCCTTGGACCACCTAGGGCTTGTTCCTGCCCACCATACATTTCTCTTGCCTGCTTGCCTGGAGAAGCAGATTTTCCAATGTGAACAGTGCCCGCAGCCCCCTGAAGCCCAGGTGAGGGCCGAGGCCTCCGACCCCCATCTTCATCTTCATCAGAAACTGAAAGACTTGAGTCTGACTGAGCTCCACTGCAACTTGGAGGTGCCTGTGCATCTTCCTCCTCCAAAGCCAAGAGTCGTTTCTGGACCAGCTGTAAGGGAAGGGACAAATGCCAGTTCTGTACATGGTTAGGAGAAGAGTTGGTGGAGTGGGTGAGAGGAGATGGTAGGTAGACAATGTGGGGAAGAAAAGCAAATGCTTAAGTGATGGTATCAAAGATAGGTACTACAGCTTTTTCTCCTTTGGGGCTTTATTCCTCTGCTGTGAGCTTTTCCTCTTCCATACACTTCATCGCACAATCCCCTCCCTACCTACCTTGTTCTAGACCCAGAGCCCAACCCTAAATCCTCTATAACAGAATCAGGATATCAAAGGGTTATACATAATCAGGCAGCCTCCTTTTCCTAGTGTTCTATGACTCCCAAGTTTACCTGGGCAAGAGTAAGTCCTTCTTCTTGGTCTAGTTCCTCAATTAAAGCCAAAGGATCTCTCTGCTCCTCCTGGGACAGCAGATCTGCCAGAAATTGAGGGTGAATGACGGCCTCCACCTGGGGAACAGAAAGAAGAGTGGTGTGAATCTTGGTATGAAGTGACCTGGAAGCCCAGGTGCTCCAGAGACAAAGTGATGAGGCCTATGCCCCCACTTGGAGTTTGTTATAGACCGTGACTACCACCAGCCACCTATGTGTGCACACATGTATACCCATTTCCAAATTGTAGAGTGGAGCCTCCTGCCACATGCAGAATCCCAGATGGCTGGTGCCCCATAGTGTCCAACCAACAAATATCTATTAGAAATTAGCCATGTAGCTGGGCATGTGTGGTAGCACACACTTTTAATCCCAGCATTAAAGGCAGGTGGACGTTTGTGACTTCGGGTCCAGCCTGGTCTTCTGCAGAGGGAGTTCCAGAGTTCCAGGACAGCCAGGGCTACACACAGAGAAACTGTCTTGGAGGAGGAGAAGGAGGAGGAGGAATTAGCCATGTAGACTCAGCTCACCTTGGAGACAAAGACCTCCTGGGAGCACAGTTCATCAATGTAGCTCAGCAGACTTGTATCTGGATACATCCCTGCATCCTCCAGCTGCTCCTCTTCCTCCTCTGCCTTCCCAGTGTCCAAGTGGCTCCCCAGAAGCCCTTCCATGATGTCTATATATTCTTGCACAGCTTCTGGTGGGATCTCCTTGGGTGCCTCAGGAACCGGAGGCCGCTGGGGTTTGCGCTGCCGCCGGCGGGGAGCCCGTGTCTTAGAGGCCGCCTTCTTGGGAATGTACACTGAGGGAAGAGATGGGGAGTGGGAAAGAAGCTATGGTATCGACTTCCCGGCAATGCTTGTAAGGGGAGGATCAAGCTTTGGGGAAGAAAATGTAAAAGCTGGAAGGTATGAGAGAGAACACCATTGTTAGAAATCTTTCCATACACCTTGACATTCCAAGAAACTGCCTGGTCCAACCCCCATTTCTTAGGCTGATGAAGTATAGGGCTCATGCACAACCTAAATGAGAGAGCAGTTAGTTCCTTTGGCCAAGATCAATAGCTAATTCAAGACCAAGAGAACTAAGACCCCAGCTTCCTATGGGGCATTGTGTTTGGCTCATAAAATGTCACTTCCAGGACAGAATGTCACAGAAGCAAGAGCACTGTCATCTGGTTCGTGGGTGGCCTTACCTGGCTGCTGGCAAGCCTCAGGGACCAGGGGCCCTGGATCAAGTTTCAAAGGGGTCACAGGGGACAGACCCGGGGAGCCATTCATCAGCTGTGCGTTCTGGATCTGCATCTCCTCCTCCGCCTCAAACTCCATGAACCTGCAGAGGGTAACGAAGGCATGGGCTGTGTTGAGAAGGAGACCTAGCCCATCCACAACCCAGACACCAGGCAGCATCCACAGTCACCCTCATTTTGACTAAACACGGTTGAAGTCGGGTCAGCCCGGGGAAGCGGCTCACAGGTAGCCTAATGACAATTCTGGGGAATAACATCATATTGTCTCTTCACCTTAACTGTCACTTGAGAAGCTTGATTAAGGAAACTGGCGGTATAGAGCTTGGATAATTCTCCAGGGCAAAGTGGTATCCTCCTCCTCCTCTGTGTTATATCTATCTCATCCAGTACCCTGGATTCGGCACTACTTAATATAAGCTCGGTGAATTCAGTCCGGTCTGTCTCGAGGTACACTCTAAAGGGTTGCTCTTTATGGCCTCATCTGCCCCTTTCTACAACTGAAAATGATGGCAGAATTCCAGAAGCAGAGCCCACCAGAGTGCAAAGGCTGGAACAGGCCCTGAGGGGTAAATCCAGGAAGTCAAATGTTCCGGTTCAGGAAAAAAGTAAAAGGTACACTTGGAAGAAATGATTTCTTCCCCCATTGTTGTTGTGACAGAAGTTCTCACTATGATTGCCCAGGCTGGCCTTGAACTCCTGGGGTCGCACAATGCTCTCACCTCTGACCTGGGGTCATGTGTGCTGACTCACACATCACAGCCTGCCAAAGTTATTTTTTAGCCAAGACTATTCTGTAGAAATGGGGGATAAAGAGTCAGGAGATCACTCTGGGTATCCAGTACCCTGATTCCGGCCAACCTCTTACGGAATTAGTCCCTCCTTGGGATGGGTGAGACAGAGTTTTCTGTGTTTTGTTTGTTTGTTTGTTTTGTTTTGTTTTTTTGAGACAGGGTTTCTCTGTGTAGCTTTGGTGCCTGTCCTGGATCTCACTCTGTAGACCAGGCTGGCCTTGAACTCACAGAGATCCTCCTGGCTCTGCCTCCCGAGTGCTGGGATTAAAGGTGCCCGGCCTCTGTGCTATTTTCTAAAAACAAACAGAAAAACCAAAGGAAAAGTGATTCTGAAGTTCTGCATCAATAGCTACCTGCCATCTGGTGAGGTTCCTTCAGCATGAGAATTTTGGGGGCACTGGGCTCAACCAATCCTTTCCTAACACCTTCAGTATGAAAGCCCCATATTGATCCAAGACCCAGAGGTGGGGAGCTTTCAAGAGCAAACAGGATAGAATAACCCCAGAGCCCAGGTGGAAGAAACAGCAAGGATTCAGGAGACCCTCATCTAATCTACAGCCCTCCTCCTGTGACTCTTTTATTTGTTCATTTTGAAATTTATTCCGTGTGTGTGTGTGTGTGTGTGTGTGTGTGTGTGTGTGTGTGTGTGTGTGTGTAGAATGCACGTGTGAGCCTCAGAGGACAGCTTTTGAGAGACACTTCTCTCCTTCCTCCATGTGGGTCCTGAGGATCCAACTCGGGTTGTCAGGCTTGGTGGTGGGCACCTTTACCTGCTGGGCCACCTTGCTGACCCTCCTGACAACCCAGCCCTCACACACACACATACATACACCTGCCTGTCTCTGCTGCCCCTACCATGCCGCCACTCCCCCGCCCTGCAGGGTGAATGAGGGTTCATCAAACTCACTTCTCTGCCATCTCATAAAAGATCATCCGGTCAAAGTTGCTGGTACGCTCCCACTCCTGCAGAGCCCTCGGAAGTCCCTCCTCCAGGGTCATAGTAGGCTTCAGTCGGGCCAAGGAACGAAGCACTGGGCTAAAACCCCCATTAGGTCAGACACGTTGTAAGAGTGTGCCCTGCACCTGTTCTGATGCCCGCCTCAGTACATACCCCACTTCCTTCACCAACTCTAGCATGCCCCTCAGGCTCTGCCATGTTCCCTTTGAATGAGCCGTCCGGCATTCAAAAGCATTCCCTTTGAATGATTCCACAACCTCCCCTCCAGTTGTCTGCCATTCTTGCTGCCCTTCCCACCAAGATGTGCAAATCACACAAAATCAAATGATTGTCCTCCCAACCTTCTGAAATCAACACCCACCTTTAACTCTCACGGTGCTAGCCCTAACAAAGAGGGAAACACTATTAACTGTAAAGTGGATTTAACCCTGTCCAGAGCCTCTTGAATTGTCAAAGACTTATTTCACTAGCCTAACATGAGCCTCTAATTAAAGCATGTATAGTAGTATGGGAGTTTGGGTTTGGGGATTGAGGTTTTTTGTTGTATTTTTTTTTCTTTGTCTCCAGAACATCCTCATAGATCTTCAGATAGACTATTGGACCATTACTTCTGGAACGCTCCAGAGGAAATCAAGAGTGCAGACTGAAGTCAGGACTTCATTTTAGCTTTCTGGCTTCTCTTCAAGTCCTTAAACACTATTGAGTATCAGAACCACCGGGAAAGCTTGCTGTAACGGTGGCTTGTAAGGGCCACGGGATCCTAGGACTGGGCACCTAATCAACTGCAGTTCTTTAGGGGCTGGAGCATGTCTGGCACAAGATCCTACCCACCACAGTGAAACATGGGGAGCAGGGGGCCAGAAACCAAAGGGGACGGGTCCCAAATCAACCTCGAGAGCCCATGCTGGTTCTAGATTTAGAAATTGTTCACCAGGTCCCAAGAGAGAACTCAGAGCTATCTCAAGAAACCAAGAACTCAAATAAAGTGGTGTGTATTGAGGACTTTGGGAGTGGTCTTTTGATCACTTGCTCCAAAGTCTGGATGAAGGAGTTCTTCCATGGGAAGGGAGCTTGCATTTTGTTTTGTTTCCAAAGTCTGGCAAAACAGAGTGTTTACTCAATGGTCCACAGCTGAGAGATACCCAATCTGCTTGGGAAGTAGAGAAAAATCTCCCAGATGACTAATGGCTGATGTATAAACAAAAAAGACAGCCTGTAACTCCAGGCTTCTTGGCTAAATATACATACACTCAAAAGGAGGGATATTTTTGTCTTTTGTGGGCTCCCTTCCTCATTAAGATTGCCTTTTTATAGGAATAATAAAAGAGTTATCATTTCAATGGTTCATTTTTTATGCCAGGCACTTTGCCAAGCACCTTTAATCTCATCAGCCCTTGGAGATAGGGACAATTACCCCTTTTCTGATGAGGAAACTGAGGGCAAAGGTGTTAAATGTCCTGCTCGGGATCACAAACCCAGTGTGTGTGGAGCCAGCTGTACTCCATCCCTCCCTCTGTCACCCTGACTCCTGAGTAAGAGAGGGTTCACACACCCTAAGGTCTTGGCCTGGCCCAGTGCCATCTTCCCCATCCCACAGGAATGAGTCAGGGCTCAGCCCACCTCATGCCAGCTCAACAGTGTCAGAGGGCAGGGAGGGCCCTGACATTTGGTGTCAGGGACCTACATGACACTCTCTGCTTCCTGCTTTATGACAGGAAGTCTCTCCGTCTTCTCATCTGTCAATGAAGACTACCGCAAAATGCTTGTCTGACTTCACAGAGTTGTAGGTATTCTTTGAAAGGTGCCTGAACGTTTCTTACAAGCCAGAAAGAATGTAGCACTGTTTTTAATTCTCTTAACAGTGTCTTTCTCACTCTCACAACTGCCTTCAAGAATTCTGGAGTAACAGAAACCCCTATGTCTATCTCACAGTCCCTTCTAAAAGCCCTAGGAACATCAATCTTGGATACCCACCCCCACTTACATAAGAAAGCAGGAAAGAGCTTCTGCATCAGGACTCTGGCATAGGTGAGTCCGGGCCAAGACTTTGTAGCGTTGCCAGCGACGATAGTTCTCATAAACACCCTTGGAAGCATAGGCAAGGTCACCTTGAGAGGGCTTCCGGGCAGCCACCGGACCTCCTTCCATGGCTGAGGCTTGTGTTCCTGGCCAAGACTTTTCCAGGGGCACAATGGGAGCCAGTTGGGCGGCGGGTGGTGGTAGAGCCTGCAGAGGAAGCCCTGCAAGGCCCTCCTGGCTCACTCCAACAGCCACAGCAGGCAGAATGGTCTTCACATTAGAGGCTGTCACATACCGAGGAGGAGGCCCCTCCTGGCCCCCACAGGGAGCACCTGAGGTAATCCAGTTTAGGGCTGTCTGGGTCACTATATGGTTCTGAGTTTGAGAGGGCTCAGCTGGCCCCACTTCTGTCTTGACTTTGACAATGACCTGGCCAGTTCCAGCCACACTGGGGCCAGAGCCTCCTTCTCCTGTCACCAACAATGGGCTGGGAAAAGCAGAAAGGAGCAGAGGATTGCCTGCAGAGAATGCAGGAGGTATGGGGGGCTGTGGTGATGGCTCCCAGACGGGTTGGTCTGATGGAACAGGAGTAGGCGGGACAAAGGGTAGCGTAGTGAAAGGGGGCAGGCCAGCACCAGGTTTCATGGCCATATCAGGTCCTGGTAATGGAGAGGCTGTTGAGACAAAGCAGAGAAGGGAGTAGGAAGGAGACCAGAAGTTAGGCCACATGACTGCCTTTTAGTCCCTGTGGGGTCAGAGCGATGAAGGAGGGGACGGGTGGTGTATCTGTAAATGTCTCCCAAGTAGTGCTTTACCCCAAAGTTACTGGGGTAGAGACATTGTTCCCTTTCCATGAGACACACAGACCTGCATCTTCCAAGCACAAGCTCAAGCTGTCACTGCCTCTAAGAGGTTTCCTCAAAATGCTCCTGCAGACCTCCCCTGGCAGCTCCAGAGTCACATCAAGAAGAAGCGAAACAGGATCTGACTCCTGTTCTGCAGGAAAAAGTCTGCAAGCAGGCTGAGTGCAGGGAAAGTTTCAGATTCCTGAAAAGCATTAGTGGGGTCCTTGGGAAGGAGGCTGTTTCACCAACACTGGTTCACCCTATCCTCTCCTCCTTTTTCTATTCCTCTTGCTCCTAACAATCTCCACATTTCAAACAACAGAAGATGCAGTTTATGAAGGCACAATGACTCTAGGATTCATGAAACTCATTTCTCCAAAAATAGTGCCACCAACATACATGGGCATGTGCTAACCCTACCTACTCCCACGAGACAGAAACCACCTGCTCCCAGCTGCTCTGTGGCTCCTGTCAACATCCAGAAAGCACAGTCCCCACAACAGGGTATGATAGCCTCGATTCTTGCTTCCCAGAAACGTCATTATGCAACAGCCAGGAATAGCTGGAAAGGATTAGAAAGACCAGGAAATGGTGAGGGGAAAGCATGGAGGGAGGGGGACTTCCAGTGCCTTCAGGAGCTACTGGGCAAGTGGAAGTTTGGCAGGACAGAGTATCTGTGGTCTTGCTTCTTAATGTTAGAAGTTTAGGACTCATGAAGAATAAAGCATTGAGCTGGAGCTAAGGAAGAAGGAAATCCAGAACACAGTTCCTGCTGGGGACAAGCTATGTGGAGACTGGTCAGGCGGAGGAGGGGAGGAGCACACAAATGTGTACTGCATTGAACATGGCCTCCATCCACATGACATCCACAGGGATATCCACGTGACTCTTAATGATAAAAACAGAACCCGACCTGCCTAGTTTCATGCTATTCTTCTCCCTCTTTAAAAAAAAAAAAAAAAAAAATATCTCACCGACTGACACAACAGCACTACTCAGATTCCTGACCACAAAAGAGACATGAAATAGGAACAAACTAATGTTCACACTCATCTGAACCACACAACAGAGGGCCAGGTTATAACCACCAAGTTCTACACACAGTGAAATGTTGCTAAGGTCTTAGCTCCACAATAAGTAAGGAAACTGAGCATCTCACTGTGGCTAAGCTGACCCATCACCTCCATCCTGAAAGTCAAGAAAGACTGTCCCTAACAAAAAAAAAATACTTAAAAATATGTACAGGTTTGTAAATATAGCCACTCTGGAGGATGAGGCAGGAAGGTCACAAGTTCAAGGGCAGCCTGAGCAACTTCGTGAGTCCTCAGCTCAAATTAAAAAGTGAAGTGAGGGTTCCAGATTTGGCTCATAGAACGCTTGTCCAGCATTTGCAAGGCCTTGGATTCAATTTCAATATGCAAAAATTTTACACATACAGAGAGAGAACTGCATGAACGCACACATGTGCACAGAAATTGTCTATGGGGCAGGAAAAGTACCCTCCCCAGAAAGCTAATTAGATGGAACCTTGATCTTCCCAACTTCCACATATTTGCATAATAAATTACTATAAAAGGAAAGAAAGGAAGGAAGGAAGGAAGGAAGGAAGGAAGGAAGGAAGGAAGGAAGGAAGGAAGCCTGCTGCCTGAACTGAAAGAAGCCACCTCTGTGGCTAGCAGGAGCCGTCAGGTCTGGGACACAAGCAGTTTTATAAAATCTCTAGCTTTTAAGTGATTAACTCTACTGAAGAGTGTTAGCTTTCCAAATAAGGCTGTTCCCCGGGCCCAATCCCACCTCTCCATCCTTCAGCCTGCTTTCTCTCAAGAGATCAAATGAGGCTCAGCCCTGCCTTCTCATGGTGAAGTCCTAGAGCAGGCACTAGCTGCGAGAAGACAGATCTTGAGTCTTCCCTGAAACCCTGACTAGGCTACTCATATTGTACGTAAAGTGGTCCCTCTTCCTGGGAATCAAATTGGTAATTGCTATCCATTCCCTATATTCAGTGTGTTACGTCTGAGGTACTTTGGTTCATTTCCAAGGAGGCCCTCCCCAATTCCTAAAGGTAAAAATCTACTTCCCCAGGCTCCCTAACGCCTGTGTGGGGTCAACTGTCTCATACCCCTTTAGGGTAGCCTAAATAATTTGTTCCTAGGTAAAGGGACAAATCTGATACCCCAGGGATGTGAGCAGGTGGCAGATACCCTACAGTCTCCACCACCCTGTCTTACTTCTGTCTGACGCCATCATCTAACGTTTAGGTACACCAACAGTAGCTGTCTGAAGCCTCCTGAATGAAACAGTTGGGTCCAGGATCCTGGCAGTAACCTAGCTCTAACAGATGATATCCAAGGAAGGTAGGGTAAAGACTGGGTCAAAACAGAATTAGAATCTTTGACTCAGGCATTCTGTAGTGGGGGAGGGGGGAGGGTATTGTGTGGTGAGAATGGGGAGGCATTACACTATGGGTTCTAGTAAATAAGCAGAAACTAGAAAATCCCTCTAACATTGATTTGATAGCACGGTCGTTGGGTGTCTTTTTTGTAGGACCGTTTGCACACTGTTTCTCAGATTCCCAGCATTCTACTGCAGTTTTTGCTTTTGGTTCCTTGTTCTTCAACAACATACCTAATCCTGTTCCCTTCGATTCCTCCAGTTCCGTAACTGGCTTACTATTAAGAACAGATTAGCGGTAGACCTTTGGCTTGTTACAGTGATGACTCTATTTTCTGAGCCAAACTCTGAGCGCACGGTTGGTATAGTTGAGGATCAAGAAAACGAAATGTTTGAAACTGAAGTGTCTCGGATGATCCAGGGTGTTCACTGCTGTGGTGTGAGCACCGCCTTCTGGAAAAGCTGCCACAACACTTGTAATCCTAGCACTCCAAAAGGTTAGAGTTTTAGAAAAGCTTAGACTACAAGTAGGACTAACTATCTGAAGAAAGAATTCCCAAACAGTCGAGTCCCAACAGCTCTGCAATTTATGGAAGCCACGGCCTTTTCCATTTGCTGAAAACCCTTTATATACATATAATATATATATATATTATATATATATTATATATATATAATTTTTTTCTGAGATGGGATAGCTATGTAGCCCTAGCTAACTAAGAACTCAACAGAGATCTCCCTGCCTCTACCTCCTGAGTACTTGGATTAAAGACCTCTACCTTTTTTGAAAAGACACAATCTTTAATAGTTTTTAAAGGGTTTATAGTTTTATTTTATGTGTATCAATATTTGTCTGGATGTGTGACTGTGCAGCTGGGTGCATGCCTGGTACCCCCAGAAGCCAGAAGAGGGAGTGAGAGCCTCTGGAACTGGAGTTCCAGCCAGTTGTGAGTTATCATGTGGGTGCTGAGACCCGAACCTGGGTACTCTACAAGAGCATCAAGCATTCTTAACCACTGCGCCATCTCTCCAGTCCCTTTTTCATTTTTTTGAGACAGTCTGGCTATGTAGCCTGGGTTCAACCCTAAGACCTTCTTGCCTTAGCCTCTTGAGTACATAAATTAGAGTCCTGAGCCACAATCCCTGCCTTAAAATTACCATAAAGTTTTTTCATTAAATTACCTTTTAAAGTTATTAAATTAATTATATTAAATTCATATATTAGCATGGCTGAAAAGTCAGACTAAGAAAAGTTTGGAGGGGGAGAGAAAGGGGGATAAGAAAGGGGTATGGGAAGGTGAAAACTACTAAAATTCAGTGTGTGTGTGTGTGTGTGCATGCGTGTATGTGTGTGTGTGTGTGTGTGTGTGTGTGTGTGTGTGTGTGTGTGTTAAACTGTCGACAACAACAAAAAACACAAAACAAAAAATCCAGGCTATGCAAAATAAAATACACAACAGCAAGTACTCTTCCCATTCATTTCCCTGTAACCAAGTCCTCCATGCCAGAAGATGTCAATTTTAACTGTTTCTAGTACATTCCCGCCCCTGGCAAAATCAAGTGCGCGCGCGTACCCATACAGACAGACAAACAGATACACAGACACAGACACACGCACGTGCGCGCGCGCGCACACACACACACACACACACACACACACACCGTTTTTTTTTTTTCTTTCTCGGTTTAAAGCAGGGTCTCACTGCTCGAAATTCTCACTGCTCGGAATACTGCCCAGGCCGGCCTTGAACCCCGTAGTTTCTGGAGATCCTTCCGCCTCAGCCTCCGGACTTCTGGGGTTAAAAGCACGTGTTAAACTCCCGGGCTTTTTGAATGTATCTTATGCAACGGCAAGCAAACCAACTACATACGTTACTTTAAAAAAAAAAAAAAACTTTAAGGTTTTTCTGCCTATAAATTTAATATGTTACAATATTTTGCCACTATAAATAGTGCTGCAATGATCATTTTGCAGTATCCTGATTCTAATTTTTTTTTTAAACTAGACTCTTATAAGACTTTTCATTCTTTTAAAAACTGAGACTATTCTAAGAAGGGTACCTTATTTTGCTATTATTCGCTACTCACCATATAAGAAAGAGCTGAATTTGTGGTCAAGTCCTGAGTTTGAATCTTGGTTCGACCTCTAAAACAAAATTCACCAGTTTCATAAGAAACGCTTTACGTTCTTTTCGCTTTGCATAATATCGAATACCCATCATGCACTCTTTACCGCCAATACTTTGAAATGGGGCAGGAAACCGGATGTAAAAGTGGGGGTCAGAAAAATATCTTACTTCTTCCCTAGGATTATAGGAGGTTGAGAATCCCGGAGCCCTTATTTCTCCAGGAACTACAAAACCAGTGTCTCTGAAATGAGTGTGCAATTTGAGATTAAAGATGAGACTGGATGCATCAATATTTAACCCACACCCATCCCTACCTCCTAAGGTCTGGCAGTGCCTGGCACACAGTGGGCAATTCCATCCATCTTAACAACTCTCTGCAAGGTTGTAGCAAGCTGGAGCCCAAGGCCAAGTCCTGCTCTACTATGCCCCCTTCTGGTCTTCTGGATATGACTGGAGAAATGGACTACATTTCCCGGCATGCCTTATAGAAACTTCCGGCCAGACAGGAAG